ATGGACCCATTTCAGATTTTGGTAGTGTCAGGTAGTAGACACCCCGAATACACCATAGCTAAAACCCCACTCAAGTCATCGCTAAGTCCTGTAAAGGAGCTTCAAAACGCTCCCAGCCCCACCACTTCCGCTGAGTGGGCGTCATTGGTGGAGTTTTGAAACTCCTTTATAGGACTCAGCGCATGAATTGGAAGGTGGTGTTGTGGCTACGGTGTACTTGGAAGTTTAATTCAAAACTACCAAAATCTGACAGGGACCATTTTGCTGTACCACTGCTTTGAAGTGCTTTTCTTGACATCATGTGATTTATCCCATTTATGAGGATCTGCATGATTTCGTGCGAAGATCTGTTTCTCTTGACCCGCTTCTACTCTAACATGTTGTTTTGTTAAATGTTCTTAGAATTATTATATTCCAGGAAAAAGGTCGAATTCAAATTGCCTCGAGGTGGACCGCGCCGTCAAGGTCTTCGTCCACCTGGTCCTCCTTGTGGTATCCCTCCTGACCTCAGTGATAGTGAGGGAGAAGGCGATGATCCATACCACGTTCCGATACCCGCAGACGATGACCTTGCACCTGTTATAAGTATGTTTCAGTTACATCCCCTGCTATCACACTTTTAATCTTTATTTTCAGTTCCTGACTTCGATGGGCCAAATAAGTTCCCCAAATTCCCTCCAGTTCTACCATTGAGGCAACGTGAGTTTGAACTTCTCAGAATGTGGGTTGTCACTGTAACACATATTTTAGCTCCCGGGCCTCCTCCTCTTGGTCCCGTTCCACCCAGATTCAATCCTATGGGCATTCCCATGCCGCCAATACCCACAGCCCCAGACCGTGAGTGTTTCTTTGCTGTTTTCCGCATACTCAACTATCAGTCTCTAAAACACGTATTTTCAGCAAGTGCTGTAATTTCTTCGGCTCCTGTCATCCGACGCGACCGTGAAGCACCTGTGATAGGGCCTCAAGCACCTACAGTTGTTTCTGCTGCACCACAGCTGAGGAATTTGCGAAAAGAAACTGTTAAGGTGGGTTCTTGCCGTTTCATGGTTCATTTTTTGAATAGCATACTGCATTTTGCGCTTCCTTGCTTGAGGACGAAAGTAAAAAATACTACATAAATTCATAATGAGTTTCTAATCAATTTGTACTCTGAGTTGTGCTTGATCCATTCAGAAGTCTTCGTATCTCTGTTCTGCATCGCCTATGTCTATCTCGTCTAAATTTTGTGCAATTCAAGCACTTCAGCATGAAAGGAGCAATTTTTAGAGAAAAACACGCTCTCTTTTTTGGTTTTGTCAGTGTTATGAAAATCATGGAAGGAACATTCCATTTTTCTTAAAATCAGGTACATGTAAATTGATCAAAGCAAGAAAAATTGTTCTTCATGTATCACATGTCTTTTCAAACATTTTCGCGCAGTATCATATTTTGCAAATTTGTTTAAATACGCTGCATATGTAGCGATGTTGCCAATCTAACGTCTCGCCGCCATTAGCGATTAGTTGCACGGTTTATTCACTTGTCAAACCAGATTTGGCCCGAATGCTCTAAATTTTGCCGCTGTTCTTTTAGCTTGTGCCCGTTGTCCTTAAACGTAAGCCTGCTGGTGTACGACCCAAACCTGCCATTCGTCGACCGCAGACAGAAGCAACTCAGCAAGCGAAGACCACCGACGAAGCTTACAATGAGTTTATGAAAGAATTAGCAGATCTCATCTGATAATATATGATATTTATGATTGTCCAGGAATTTGTGTATTGTTCTGTGTACTTTTGGGTTCGCATCGTCATAAACTTCTTATCATGTAGCTCAGTTTACTTTGCATGCAACCTATAACTCATGAAAGAGAAGGAAGAGTATGGAAACAAGTTTTTTAGATTCGAAGGATATCATTTGGCGGTTGATTTATGCTTGGCACTGTGCTTGGTACTGCTTGGTACT